GGCTGCTTTGCTGCATCTGGCACAGAGAGACTTGAATCTGTGCAGGACACGATGGAATCAGATCACCAAGGTGATCTAGAGAAACATGCTGCCCAGTGTCAGAGCTCTGTCTCAGCTGCAGGTCATGGCTCCTCCAACAGGTTAATGACCCAAAACAATACATCTAAAAGCAGCCAAGAATGGATGAGAAGAAAACACTGGGCTCTGAAGTGGCCTGTTATGAGTCCTGATTTTAATCCAACTGAACATCAACGAAAACATCTGAAACTCGAAGGCAATCATCAGACCTGAGAGAACTGGATCAGTTTACTGAAGAAGACTGGACCAAACTACCAGCTGAGGACTGCAGTCTCATTAAAAGCTCCACAAAGTGATTGACTGTAGTGATTTACCTTAAAAGAATGTGTTTCAAAATATTAGGTTCAAGGTTAAAATATTTCTGTCCATGTTGTTTTCATCTTTTTCATCTGCTGTATTACTTAAAATACTTAACAATGAAAATCAATGTCTGTTCAATTAAATATGGAATAGAGAAATGTGGATGCCAATTACTACATCAATTTTAACTCGATCTTTTCAGAGAAAATTGTGTGTTTTTTCTTTTTTTCAGCTACGTCTGTAGCTGCAGGGGTAAAAAATAAATGCACATCAAGCAGGATAAAGCAGGACCCCTGTTCTACATGTTGGATAAACTATTTAGAGTTTCAAAATGATTAATAGTATTTGTCTTCACAACTGTCTGGTCCTCTGGAAAGAAGAATAAAAAATGATTCATAGTGAAAGCAATAAAGTACATTAAAAACATAATAACTTTGACAGTTTGACAAAAGAAATGTGAAATTTCTCATGAAAAAATAGTCCATCTGAATGGACAGTTAACACAGATCACACCTTCTCAGCAGACGTCATTTCATACTGTTGTGCAAGAATTCAACTTCTAATAAGGAATCTGAATTATTTTGTAACATCTTGCGTAACAACTTGACATTTTCTGTCTTGACATAGTTAAATTAACGACATGTGGCATTAATGACACAACACAAACACTGTAGTTGATAAAACAAAGCAGAGTTTTTATTAAAGATGCACCACAGGATGCATATCCTGGACTGAGGGAGCTGAGTCACTGCAGCTTATTTACGCAGGTCTCTGACATCAACACAAACCTAACGATCCTTCTCCTCCTTAGAGCAACACGTCGTGTTTTCATCTGAACAATGTGCCATATTGTGTTATCCATAGCTGAGTGAGTGATGGGTGTGGACCGCTGCATATTGACATGTCCTACACACTGAATAAGCCATTGATTAGATATTCAGTCAAAGTGCTGTTTGTGTCTGATAATTTATTCTTGAGTGTGTTTTCATCCACTCTGCTGGGTGGCTGGAAGTCATTTTATTTATCAACATGTAGATTTTCATGTCTAATAATAATTTAAAGCACAGAAGAGTCAAGCATGGGATTGTATGAAACATACAGTCTCTTTATAGTCCGTACTTGTATGGTCATATGAATACACGGATAGAAAAGTCCCCTTTGTAATCCAGCACATCAGGACAAACACACATGCAGGTGTCATGATGGCTTCTTTTCTGTACCCTATAAAAGTGGACATGGTTTTAAGAAGATGCCCTGAACCCGCTGACTCACCAACAAGAAGTCTTAAATCACAGAGGGCTCTGGTTCACCTCATGCAAAGTAGGACCACTCAGTGATCCATGCATGCCCTGCAGCTGTAGTGAGTGCAAACCACATTATTTTAATGATACAGACAATGGTTAATCGAAAATCACGAAATACACAGTGATAAAGATGACATCATGTCAGGCTGTTAGAGATCGGAAACCCTGATGTCACATGTGAAATTGGAGCCCCAAGGGTTGTGCCAATATTCCCAAGCACAGATGAAAACAGTGGATCAGGAGAAAGTCTCTTGGCTGGTGACCTTTCAAGCTTTGTTTTGTCAGTGAACTCATGGGTGGTTTGACACTGGTCTGAACCACCATGAGGAGTTTGTGGGTTGAATTTATGGTAGAGTTGAAGAGAACTGTATTAAAGGTCCCATATTGTAGAAAATGAGATGTCCATGTCTTTTTTTTATTACAAAACAGGTTGAGGTGCTATATCAATACTGTGACAGTATCAAAGTGGGCAATTCATGGACAAAATGGCCACACGCCTGTAATTCAGAAACTGTGTGTTAAAAAAAAGCCGTCAGGATTTCAGGATTTCAGTAATAATACAAAACAGTCACCACTGTCAGCTATGTCCCCTACATACCTGGACCCAACGTCCAACCTGGCAGGATTTTGGTTCTCTTAGTGTTTACCTGAAACTTGCTATATTTATATTCGATCACTCAGAAAAGAGTCAGCCACTCTGAGAGGCTCAGAGTCTAATAGTTAATTAACCGTGTGGTTGCAGATACAACACACATGGACACATTTTTCCATGCATGTATATGAAATCTGTCAATGACCAGAACAAAATTAGGGACAAGAAAATTACACCGAAATATGTAGCTGTCAGGGATAAAATTCAGGCTTAGGTTCTTCTGTTCTGTACAAGACCCAGTCCTTGCTCAAATGAGCTTGCAGCAGTTTTTTTGGATGTCTTCTTGTTTTTGTTCTCTTCAATCCCAACATTAGAAAAGAAAGAAGTAAAGCAATATGCATCATTATCTTCTCCAGATAAAGCTCTTAACAAACAAATTCAAAAGGCATTTTACTTTACTACAATTATTATCACTGACAGGTATTAAAAGTTGTTTAATCATGAACCAAGCTGCAGCAGGCTAACAAGCTCCAGGTGTACTGTATGACTGTGACACATGAACAAATCAGGCGAGGCCTGGAGACCCCAACAGTCAAACTGCAGTTCTGAATGTATGGCAGCTGTTGAGGACAGGCATTTTGTACAAGAGCTGGTCTCCAAGTCCTAAATCTGGCTCTTCTCTGATTGGTTTAGATGTTGGATCAACCAACATGAAGATTTATAGGTAACATTTCATGTGTTTAATTGGAGAAATCTTGACTTTATTCAACAGATTTTGGTCTATGAAGATTTATTCTATCAACAAAATAAATATTGTGTGGTCAATAGTGACTTTTATCAGTCAGAGAGACTGAATACATACATCTTACTTACATATAGTTCTCATAGCCTGCATGCAATCTATGATCATTTGAGTCTATAGTATGAAAATTACAAATTTTATCCTTGAAGTATTAAGACCAAACTAAAATGTGTGTCACTTAATACTTCAATAGTAAGTGTAATGTGAAAAATCTTTTTTTTTTAAAAAACAATGTTAAGTACAGTATGTAGTTAAGTAACAGATAAATAATGAAAACTTTTTCTCTTGTCTTTCTTTCCTCTCTTGTGTATTTTGACCAGTGATTCATGTTTTGAATTTCATTAGTTTCAGAAGTGCTGAGCAAAGTCTGTCCTGCTGATTTACATACAGTGTCAAACTGATGTGATGGCTGCTTTACATGAGAATGCTAGCCCAAGGTTAAATCATTAATGCTGTTATGATTAATCATACATCAATAATACAAAAAACTGGTGACTGAGCACAGGTCAGTAGGGTTGCCTGATAACATTTTATTAAAGCAAGCTCAGATCCAACAGGATGTGAGTGTTTCTGTAACTTCCTGTCATGGACTGTAAATAAAGATGGACGTAGCCTCTGTGACATCACCCACAGGTTTCGGATGAGCAGTTTTGAAGCTCAGAGTGAGCTGCTCCACTCTCGCCACGGTCGCCATCTTGGCAGTGCCTGACTCCACCCCTAATCCTGTCTAATGCAAATGGACAAATGGCAAATGAGGTCGGTCGTGTGTGTCAGTGAATGCTGGTTTGTGGCAATCATACGCTCCCCCACCTGTCACTCAAAGCAGCACACCCTCAATTATGTAGGACTTTAAGCCTTAATAAAATGTAAACAGGTGAGTTATATAAACAGTTGTCATGAAGGAGGAAATTAGTTATAGAGACCAAAACTGTTTTTGTACCAGGATGTAAACATGTTCATTTCTGCTGTGAAGTTGGACATTTTAAAATGGGAGTCTATAAGGATTGACTCACAGTTGGAGCCAGACTCTAGTGGTCATAAGAGGAACTGTAGTTTTGGGCACTTCTGCATTGGCTCCATTTTTCAGCCTCAGAGGTTGCCGACTGCTGCCTGCACAGTCTGTGAAGGCTGTTGTAAACTGTCCTGTCTTGACTACAGTTTTTGGTCACTGCTCTCATCTGCTTTCAAGGCAAGAAAGTTCGTCTCTAGCGAGCCTAACAACTTTAAATACTCCTTGGGCAAAAATAGCAGGTGATGATGAGATGAACAGATTATTAAAGCTTTAAAGGGTGTTAGCAATATTCCCGTTTTCATTTAAACTGTGCAATATCTCAACAACAGACACACAGAGCTGTCCAGCCTCCCTGGTTCCATTCAGTTTAAGTAACTAAAACAGTTGGTTAAGGTCGTTTGGATGGTGGTTTTGGTTAAATATTGAAAATTTTTTCAAGTCAGTATTGATTTTTTCAATACTGAACAAAAAACAGGATCTTTTTTTAACCTTTAAGTAAGAGAATACAGGAAAGCTCTATCTTAATAAGCCTTTTAACTCATCATGACATGTTGAAATCATTGAATCACTGATTTACTAAGAGCCTGCTGCCAGACATTTTTGTATTGATAAGAAAAGATCACAGCATCCTGTCTGTTCTGTAGTTCTTCAGATAGTAGTAACCTTGTAAACAGTGTCAGGCCCTTATTTAACATGTAAATGTCACAGGCCACACTGAACATATGTAGGGTGAAGGAGGGATGAGTAGTGGAACTGCCTTATACACACATACATACACATTCTTTCTCTCTCTCTCTCTCTCTCTCTCTCTCTCCTGAAGGATTCAGTGTAGCTCCACCTTGACTGGCAGGTTATAAAGGGATTCTTCCTCCAGGTAAGGCCTATCATACTTGGTCAGTCCTCAGGACCAACATGGGGACTACAGGACTCCAATTCACAATATGGCTCATCTACCTGATGCTGATGGTTGGCTCACTCACTCAGACTGGTTAGTGATGCACTGCTTACAGCTTAACACTCCAAAAAGACCAAAGAAAAAAAACTATAAGAGGATTGGAGGAGGTCATGGAGAGATGCTGTTCTTTTAGCGGAAGTTTATGTTGGTGTATGGTGAAGGAAAGATGCTTAATTTGTTTGAATTTAGATGTTATTATGTCTTATTTGGATAACTTCTACATTTCCTTTGTATTTGTCTGAAAATATATCATAAGAATCTCCAGAGGTACTGTTTTATATATTTTATATGTAGTTATAATGGTACCTGTTATAATCCACATAAACTCATGCTTATGCTGCCAAGAATTGTTTAAACCCAATAGAGGATATTTCCAAAGATACTGAATATATACAGCATGAGATATCTTCAATAGATAATCTTACTGAATAGTCTACGGCATCTTGCATTTGATGATTTCACTATGTATCATTATATAACTTCAATGAAGTGTTGGAACAAGATGATACATAACATCTGATGCATATTTTTTTCCCCTTTAAAATCAAAAAATGATTATTTCTTCTCTTTACTACAGTAACCTTCACTCCCTCTCCAAACACACTGACGCTGAGTTCAGGTAATGGTACAAATACCTAAAAATTGCTTTTTGTAACTCTTTATATAAGTTTAAAATCATGTTGTAATATGTTTATTGTGTTGTAGCTAATGCATCTCACATCGGCCGAGTGTGCACGACTTGGGGACACTATCACTGGAAGACCTTTGATGGAGACTTCTTCCAGCTGGCCTCCACCTGCAACCATGTCCTGGCCTCGCAGTGTAAGGGCAGCTATGAAAATTTTAACATCCAGATGAGGCGCAAGGTAGTCAACAACATCCCCACCATCAGCAGCATCACAATGAAGCTGGAAGGGTCTGTGGTAGAGCTGTCCGGCAGCTCAGTGATCGTCAATGACAGGACGTAAGTTCAGTTCAGCTTGTAAAGTTCATTCTTTAACTTGAAAGTTTTCAACCACATCTCATGGTCTGCCTATCACTGTCCAGTATGTGGACCTTGTGTTAAACTCCTTTAGCCCATGCACAAACAACTGTCACTTCATTATTGCAACATTTTTGAAGCCATTCCACAGCATTTTACATTATGATAAATATATCAGTGATTTCTAACTGTCTACCCCATGTGGTACTTCTGCAGTGGCCATGAGGTCATGAGGAATCATATAAATTGTATTGCAAATTGGTGGTATGCTGATATTTGGTTATTCATTGCCAGAATAACCAATAAATCATGAGTTATGACAGACTGCCTGTCACAAAGGATATACCTCAATTTCCAGTCCTGAGTTGGTTAGAAAACCCTCAGTGCTCCAGTGGAGCAGTAAAATAAGAGATAAACAAGGTTCGAATTTTGGGGTGGATTGAGGGGGGTCAGACCCCCCTAATTAAGACTTGGACCCACACAAAAGAGGTAAAAACAACAGCTCGGGGGTTGAAACATTTATACATTCTACTTACCTGTTATTGTAAATATTACAATATATTTCCCATATTCATATCTGGAAGAATGTTAAGTAAGTAAGATTTTGTCTAAATTTTGACTTTAAGTTACAGTTTAGCTAGCTGATAGCACGCCCTTTCATTACCAATGTTAGTATGTAATTTATCACCAATATAAAACGTGATATCATCTAATTTGGTGCTCAGTCATGCAGTGAGACAATTGAGGATTAGTGGTTGAGAGATACATTTTGACATCAATATATAATTTACTATTTCTTTTTGATAGTCTTTCTTTGGTTTTTCATTTACTGATAGCCACTATCAGTTCCGATAAATGAACTATATACTTCCCACAGTGGCAAATGGCAAGAAAAGACAAAGCTATCTAGATTGTACTCATTTTGTTGGCGCTACTGAATCAGTCAGATGATTGGAGCCTGCCTGAGATGACTGTAGTGTTGAGCCACTTCCCTCAGTTGCTCTATTTCCCCTTTTCAGGTGGAGCTAAATTCCTCAAGACTTTCTGTCATTATACAATTTCTTATTGTCGTTCACAGAAGACAGTTATGACTTTGTCTATCACTCGTTCGTGTGTCAGCTGCTGCTTATGTTCATACTAACTGTGTGTGTTTGCTGCAGGGTGTCTCTGCCGTTCATCACATTTGGGGTGACTGTGAAGGGGACCACGTCTAGTATCACTGTCGAAGCTAAGCTGGGAATCACAGCTATCTGGAACAGGGATGACTCATTGGATGTATGAACCACACCCTCACACTTGCACACGTTTGTCCTCAGTTTTGTGTTTATGTGTATTTTCAGGCTAAACACAAAGACTAAGTTACACATTGAGACCCTGCTGTAAACAACTCAACAGGATCTGGTGCTCTTCAACTGCATAAGCCTGTTCCTGAACATGTTTGTTATGTATGCATATGCTTATGTACAAAGAAACACTCTCAGTCTCAAGCCATTTTACTTGTTTAAAGGAAAAGGTTGATGTTATCTTATCATGAAAAGACCAAAACCAATATTGAACTTATCTTTACAACAAGTATTGTCTGTGTCGCCACAGTCGGACACAGCTTATCCCTCTTCGCCACAGAACTCTATTGTTATCCCAAAGCTTTTAAAACCATATAGAAGAGACACAATGCCGCACCTGGGTGGCATATTTGATAAGTTTGATGAGAACATACAGTGTAGTTCAGTCCACCCAGCTCATATAAGTGACCACAGCCACAGTTGTTTGCAGACCGTTAGCTGTAAGCATGAGTCTATGCTTTCATACAGTTTCAATAATATAATTGCCACTGATTCCTACCATTCTTTAAATAAAGAGTTGAGGCTGCTCCCCCCATGTGGAGGTATCAGCTCCTCAGAGCCTGGAGCAATACATTCAAATGTTCCTTTTTAACATGGGCAATTAAATAAGGGTTGCTTGCTTTCAGTAAATCCGAACCTTCTGTTTTATGGTGTCTGTAGAATCAAAGTACAATCCATGATTTATATATAAAATATGAGAATTATGACTACTGAGCTGCAGGCACTTAAATGTATCATGTTGCTGTGCATGTCGTCTAAATTTTGTGTCTTCAAGAATTATGGAAATTGATGGCATTAAGCTGTAGTCTGATTTACAAGTGATACTCACCATGAAATAGAACCTCAGAGAGAATGAATTTGAGTATGACTCAAATTCCCAGATGGATTGCACAAAATGGCATAATTCAAATTTTTATTAAAATGTGTTGAAATCTTAAAAAACATAAATTATTAATAACCTACTTCTGATCTTGCCAATAACTACTGTATGTTTTGTGTGTGTTTACAGATTGAAATAGATGACAAATACCAGGACCAGACCTGTGGACTGTGTGGAAACTTTGATAGCATAGCCAATGATTTGATGAAAGACGGTGAGATTCTTTTAAGTATTATGGAGGGATAATACACTGTAGCCTGTGAGGATATTGTGATACAGTGAGGCTGTGTGAACACTATTCAACATGCTGCCTCTGTCTATAAATAAATATAAATATATATATATGTGACATCAGCTTCTCAAGAATCTGACTCCTTTGGGATGATTTGATGATAGATAGGTGTTAAAAAGATAAATAATAAATAATAAAAAGTTGTTACAATTAGTTCCTGTTCTGAAGATCTATTATAGACCCATTATTTATTGGCCTAAGCAAGGTCATATTTTTTCTCTTAACCTATTTAAATTCAGGCATTATTAAGAAACAGGAAGTCAGTTCCAGATCAATGTATCTACTGAACTGTAGTTGGAGAGTTGAAGATGTTTTGTGAGTCATCCGAAACTTTCTGCTGACTAGTAGAAATCAAATCTCATTTTTACTGAGTGAAATACTTGTTAAAGTTGCCCTCAATAATAACTACAACATTTTAATAGTGCAACTATTCTTCCAGGAATTTGCAATTCATTTACAGTTTTCATGAGTTCACAAACCCTGCATTGTTAGTAAATGTTTGTAGCTTCCCTGCTATATCAAGCAAAACAAATATAGGAGGTTCAATGTGTGTTGTACTCAGCAAACCCTTTACAGCTACTTACATAAACTAATATTACACTAACCCTTTAATTTATGCAGTTGCCTGAGAGCTTGACCTTAAGGTACAAAACATAAACAAGGTTCAACTTCCTGGAGTTAGTCACTACTGCAAGAATTTTCAGCACAGGCTAACTTTTACCAAACAAAAAAAATCTGCACTAAAACATTTAAAAACAGCAAACATTGACTTCAAATTGTTGAACATTGCAGTTTATTGCAAAATTGCAAAATGATAAACTGCATTGCAAGTTTTTACTTAACTGCTGAGTGGGCTAAATGATCACAAGGATCACTGTTGTGTGACTGACTCCCGCTGTGCTGCAGGAGCTCTGCTGTCTGTGACAGACTATGCTGAGACCTACAAGGTGAATGGGCCGACGGAGAGCTGTGAGGAGCCTGAACTTAAGCCTGTCCTGAGCTGTGGTAACAAGGTAACTCTTCACTCTTTATCATACTCCACAGGTTTACATTAAACACCTCATGAATTCATGTCAGAGCAACACTACACACAAAATATATAATAATAATATTTAATATTGACTTGAAATTTGATTGCTAAGCGTTTGACAGGTTCTACATTTTGATCATCTTTTCCATAATGAAAACTTACACTACACTTTTTAATTACGATGAATTCTGCTGACCACGCTCTATTTTGATCTATTTATTAAAAGCAGATTTGTAACTGGCTGTGTATGTACTGTAAATGTCGACACACATAATATAATTTAAACACATAGCCATATATTATTAATTTAGAATAAGTCTGGTAGATAAGCAGGGTGTGTAAACCAACCCATAAAATCTGTCTGTTTGATTTGAATACTAGTTTATCGTCACGGCTTTTAATTATTTTGTCAGTCCAGTCAGTGTATCCTATCAGACGCTCTCCAGATAACAAGAGAGAGATTAGTTTGTCATTTGGCTGTCAGGGGTGATTAATCGATAGTTGTAGCTGAACACTGTAGGTGGAACATCAAAATCTGAGTGAGAACATAATGCAACGACATTACATTTCACTTCTGTGAAACTCAAGGCCACCGTGTTTTGAAAGACTGTAGTCTCTATGGGAGCCTGTATGGGAGCGAGTTCATCAAAATGAACACACGTTGCATTGCTCATCAAACATTTTCAGCTATCCTGTCTTTGCTATACACCACCATACAATCAATTTCCGGCATGTGTGTTTTCAAAGTTAGAGACAGTATGACAGCAAAACAAATCATCTATATATCTAAAGATTGTTAGAACTTCAACATTTATTTTTAAGACAGTTTGACTGATTTTATTTTTGTTTTGTTGGTTTGTTTGTCAGGAATTCTGTGACCGGATTTTCTCCAGCGCTCTATTCAACAGCTGCCAAATCCTTCTGGACGTGGACTCCTTCAGTAAAGCCTGTATGGCTGACATGTGTAACTCTAAAGCCAACGACCACTCAGTTGTCTGCAAAACTATCTCAGAGTTCTCCAGACAGTGTGTCCATGCAGGTGGCAAGCCGCAACAATGGAGGAACACAACTTTTTGCTGTAAGGGTGCTAATGCCTAAAGATGATTAAACGTATATGCAGTTTATTTGAATGTTCGTGCTCTGAATTACACACAGGTGACAGAGTCATTTGTCTCATGTTTTCTCATGCGTTTGTCTGCACAGACAAGGAGTGTCCATACAACATGAAGTTCTTGGAGTGTAGCAATTCATGTCCTGATAGCTGCTCCAACCCTCAGGCCAGCCAGACATGTGACAACCACTGCCATGATGGCTGCAGCTGCCCTGCCGGTACACTATATATGTCATATGCAAACATACGTAACCCAACCCATGTCTCATGCACAGACAGAAAACATGACAGTACATATTATCTCTCCTCACCTCCACAGGAACGGTCTTTGATGACATCGGTAAGACTGGCTGTATTGCACTGAATGAGTGTCCATGTCTACACAACAACAAAGTCTACAAGTCCGGAGAGTCGTACTCATACAACTGTAGATCTTGGTAAGATGAGAACTATGTTGGTTATTGAGACACCAGATACAAACATAATTGCTCTGCGTGAAAGTATTCACAAATAAGCATTTGTTTTTAATTGCTTTCTGAAGTTTCTTTTACCTCAACATGTTGTTCACTGAATTGACCAGATGTTGATTCCTAATTTTATCCATGATAAAATTTTTGATCGTGGATAAAATTAGTGTTAACATATTTCCAGTTTATTTAATCTGTCATGATGTGTGGGGAAAAACAACTTCTTGTCAATCATTATCTCAAAAAATTGATTTGTAGCTTGTTTGTGTGATACTAAAATGTTAGTGGTGTTAATTTAAGGACACTGTTATGGGATGGGCTAAAGACATTTTAAAATATGTGACCAAAACCCTTTTTTATATTTGCATTGCATTGCATGAATATTAACTAATTAATAGCAGTCTGCTCATATATAGAGTTTGTTCAAATTATTAATTTGTCATGATGTTGTCTATTTACACAAGTACAGTGAATTTTTACTTTAAGATAAACCCACACATTTTGTTGTACGAGCCATATCCCTGCATTTCCTCACTGTTCACTAAAGTTGTTTCCTTCATTCCTCCAAGGTACAATTCGTTTTAACAGCCATAAGGGAATAAACACACAATGACTTTACAACATCATGTTCAGTCCTCACCTACATGCCCTTAGAGAATTTTTGTGTTTGTTTGTTTCTGTCTTTTTGTTTGTTTTGTTTCTTGTAAATCATTCAGTCAACGGCAGTTGATCATTTGTTTTGGCTGAAATGAAGCCAGCTGTACTTCGGTCTGGGTCTGGACCTGACTGACACTGCTGTTTAAGGACTAGCACTTCTAAAATAAGACATACAATCTACTAGGATTCCAGGAGTCTTGTCTCCTCTGGTCTTCAGTTCAGCTTGCCCCAGTATTGATTAAGTAAAAGTCAACGAAGGCAAACTTTACTCGACTGTAGCCGACTCCCAGCTTTTTCCCTGTGTTAATGTGTGATCAGGGTGTAACGGGGAGGGAGGTGGCTCTTTCTTGGGGACTTGGTGGGAGGTGCAGATGTTAGACAGGAGGGTCTAAGTATATTGTAGATATTTCCAGTGGCATAAGTCATTCCCTGTGTGTTGTAGCAAATGAGTGAGTGACATGGTTTCACTAACATTCCTCTGCCATTAGTTTAAATTTAAAATTAAATATTCTTCATGCTTCAGACATGCAACAGATTGCTAACTGAGTTTGCTGTCATGGAGAGATGATACTAATGTGAAATTGTTTTATATGGCATAAATTGAAAATAATGAGAGCATCTATCATTAGATCCACCTTGATCTGCCTGTTTAACCATCTTCTTCTGCATAAATGTGTTCTAACAGCAAACAGTGCAAAATCATTTTCCCTTTAATTCAAAGCATTATGACTTAATCATGTTGACATTAATGTAATAGTGTAATTTACTCACAATTATACGTGTGGTGTTTGTGGTGTTGTGTGATGTGTGTGTGTTGTGTGTGTGTGTGTGTGTGTGTGTGTGTGTTGTGTGTGTGTGTGTGTGTGATGTGTGTGTTGTGTGTTGTGTGTTTGCGCTGACAGTGTGTGTGAGAGCGGTCAGTGGAAATGTACGGAGGAGAACTGTCCAGGAACCTGCTCTGTGGAGGGAGGAGCTCACATCAACACCTTCGATGGAAAAGTCTACACCTTCCACGGTGACTGTTCCTACGTTCTGGCTAAGGTAAACATCATCATCTGCAGCAATGCTAGTATAACGATAGTTCACACCAACGTTATACAATTTCATACCAGGAGCATGGATTTATAAACTATCTACACACATCATGCTTCATAATGTAATGAATCTGCTACATGAGACTTTTTAGTGTGTCCTAAACAAGATGAGTGTTTGTGGTCGGTGATGTGCTTTGTCCCAATGTGTGTTGCAGGAAACTAATGGCTCTTCATACACTGTGCTGGTGGACCTGGTCAAGTGCGGTCTGGCTGACAGTAGGACCTGCCTCAGAGCTGTAACTGTGGCCTTATACAGCAATTCTGTGGTAAGCTCCAGGCTCCAGCTGTTTGGAGAGTGGTATTATAGTTTTGTGATTGATGGCTTATCTCATAATATCAGAATTGTCCAATCCTCACCAACATGGTACACCTAGCAGGGTCAAAGCTTTTAACGAGATCCATTAATTATTTGGAAATACTGTTGGTTTCATGTTTGATGTAATCAAAAATGTGTCTTTCTGACAGGTTGTTAAAATTCAGGCATCCGGGCAGGTCTTTGTGAACCAGATTCTTTCTCAGCTTCCACTGTTTACACGTGAGTTACTTCAAATGGTGTTAAGAAGACACAGTATGCTATAAAAACAGCAGAATCAGCACAGAGTTATTAGTTAGGGCTCTAATCCATTTACTCAAGTGCAGAATGTTAACACATTTGAAGAGTTTTGAATTTGTATTGATGCCATGAGGTGGCAGCACTGTTGCCTCACAGCAAGAAGGAAATAGTTGACGACCCAGAAATTATATGTTAAGTGTTTTTCACTATCCTCTGCTACTACAGCGGATCTGAGTGCCTTCAAGCCGTCATCCTTCTACATCCTCATAAGTACCAGAGTGGGCATACAAGTGATGGTCCAGCTGTCCCCCGTGATGCAGGTCTTCATTTCAGCTGACACTTCACTCAAAGGAACCACCTCTGGTATGCCTTCATATTATTGTTTCAGTGTCTCCGCCACATTTATATGCGTAGCTTAATATGGTTTTTGTCAGTATTTACAATAGAATCAATCAGTTAAATTCAGATAAAAAAGGTAGTGGAACATTGTCTTGGTTTGTATCTGTGTAAATGTGTCATTTCATCCAACAGGTTTGTGTGGGAACTTCAATAACATAATGAGTGATGACTTCAGAGTGATCAGTGGGCTGGTGGAGGGTACTGGCACTGCATTCACCAACACATGGAAAACAAGAGCCAGCTGCCCCGACATCACAGCACGCTTTGGACACCCCTGTAGCCAGGGCATCAGCAAAGGTACATATAATCTCATGTCATGCTGACATGTCATGTAATGTTTGTCATGTCATACTATTTCAGTGTAACCATGCCATTTTCAGGTATGTTTTTTCGCCGCTTTATGTCCATGTGTTTCTGTGTCTCAGAGAGTTATGCACAGTATTGGTGCTCCAAACTAATGGATCCCAAGGGTGTGTTTGCTCCTTGCCACTCTGTCATTAGCCCCACCATGTACAACGACGTAAGTCTTCATACACAAAGCTGTAGTCCCAAATAATCTTAGCTAATGTACCCTCGTTAATGTGTCTATGCCCACTGTGTCTCCTCATAGAACTGCATGTATGACAGCTGTAACTGTGAGAAAAGCGAGGACTGCATGTGTGCTGCAGTCTCCTCTTACGTCTACGCCTGTTCAGGGGCAGGAGTCCACCTCAGTGGCTGGAGGGAAACCATCTGTGGTGAGCAAAACACCAAGGACACTTTTGTTTAACTGTGATAATAGAGAGTTTGTAACGAACAGTCAGTCACATGCAAGATCAATAAATCAACAGCAGCATGTTTAATGAGATTTTATGAAATGATTGGTTTATTGCAACAGTAAAATAATAATTCAGTGAAGTGAACATCACAAAAACTAAGGAAAGCACATACAAAAATGTTTGTATAGTATTGAATCATATCTAGATTGGAACATGTGGTGACAGGGGTCATCTAAGACCTGCAGGTCTGGGTGCAGTTTCACTTTACACCCTCTGACCCTTTGCTGTTGCCTTTCTGCAACAACAAACAAATTACTCTTCTGGTAGATACACTCTCCTGCTGCCACTCAACTCTTCCCTCTCCCACTAGGCAAATTCAGTGCATCGTGTCTAGCAGAGACAGTGTATGAGTACAACATGACTAGCTGCGGACGCACCTGCCGATCCCTGAGCCAGGCTGACTACTCCTGCCAGACCAATTTCCCCACAGTGGACGGCTGTGGCTGTGCTGAGGGAACCTACATGAATGAGGAGGGGCAGTGTGTGTCCAGTTCAAGCTGTCCCTGTTACGATAAGGACACCATTATTCCTGCTGGACAGGCTGTCAGTAAAGATGGCACCACATGGTAAATACACGCCAAGAGTTGGGCATTAAGGTTTCGGGTCTAATTTATAGTGAGCAGTAAACTGAAGTTATAGACGGAATAATGTTTTTGTTTTTTAGGGCATTACACAGCATATGTTTTTACACTATGAATTTCAGATTTCCTTTAATGGTCATTTCTATGCATTTACATTTACATACATAAAAATTCAGAGACTCAACTAAAACAGGGGAAAAGTAAATAAAAGCTGCGTCCCAATTCAGGGGCCACATCCGTGCTGCAAAGACCGCAGTGAAATGAGACAGGATTTCTGCTTCGTGTCCCCTCCAACAAATTGCTACTCCTATCGCCTAGCAACCTTGACAACATGTAACTGGTTTTTTTTTTTACAAAATCTTGAGGTTTTAAGGCCCTTGTACCTTTAACTGTTGAACTGAGCTGAAACCCAATACTTACATTGAAAAAAGTGTGATCCTCTGGCTCTCTGTCTGTGTTGTTTGCTGCCATTTTATTTTCATTACCGGCGTGCAGTGAATCTTGGGATATGTTGGGCCACAAAGGATCCACCCTTTGGAGACTTTTCTGCCCAGGAAAACAAGGATGCATTTGAAGGAGCTTTCAAAATGGGCCAGCCTAGCTGCACCGCTGTGACACAATCAGCCTTTTAATGCAGCCTCAAAAGGATGCAGCCCCTGAATTGGGACACAGCTACAGCTAATGATCATCCTAGTTTAGAATCTTCTAGAAGCACGCTAACATTTGTTAATTTGCACTCAACACAAAGTGCAGCTGATTTGGAAAGCAAGGTATTGGCTAACTTAGCTTGAATTTTCATTTATCTGCTGTTACTGCAAAGCTAGCAATGGGAGTAACTAACCTTGAATATGTGTGAATGCTCCCAAGTTGGAGTGACAGGACATTTTTTTCCACTCAACCAATTCTGCCAACACAATGTGAATGCACCAAAGCAGTCAGAATTTTATTACTAAAGAACAACTGCAAAAAAACAAAGGGTCGAGATAGAGGGAGACTTTCCTCCTGTAAAGAACAACAGTGCAAGCATCTCATTACGTCCCAAAGTTACAATTTATTGATAGGTGATCTCTATTGGCCGTGGTAATTACAACAGGTGCAAAGTAGGTAGTCAGGTGACAACAAACAACCTATATGGTCCTTCAGGTTGGACGACTTGCTGGGTAGAGGACATTGTAGCCAGTCTACATCTTGACAGTATGTTGTTAAGAGGAATAAGGAAATCCATTAATGGACAAAGAATGATGATGATAACTGTTTTTTATCTCCCTTCATACTTGTTCTCACAGTGTCTGCAGACAAGGAGCTCTCAGCTGTTCAGGAGGAACACGGCTACTATGTAGGTTTCCACCTATAGACATAGTCACATCCCTGTAATTCATATAACTATGAGCTGTTTGAATGTTATTGTGGTTAACTGCTGAATTCAATTTGTAAATTATATAACGATTAATTGTTAAACCCCTTAAAATGCTTTAAAATTAAAATTCTCCTTCAGATCATGAAGTTTCAAAGCTAAAAGAAAATAGTTGATGCTGAGTTAAGGGAATTGTGGAAGGAATTATGCACAAAATATGGAATTTTGACATGACCCTAATACCCTTTATAATGCCAATAAAGCTCATGTGAATTTGTAATTTATTACCCAGCCTCATCATCATGCGCTGCCCCCATGGTGTACTTCGACTGCTCCACTGCACAACCTGGGGCCACTGGGACTGAGTGTCAGAAGAGTTGCAGCACTCTGGACATGGCTTGCGTAAGTACAGCTTAGCACACGTACACACTCACACAAGTCAAACTTTAAGACATACATGCACAGGCCCTGTTTGGCTCACCCTCCACTCTGGTTGGATACAGATCAAAACAGGCTGTACGTCAGGCTGCATGTGCCCTGATGGCCTGGTGTCAGATGGAGTAGGAAGCTGTATCAATGAGACCAGCTGTCCATGTCTGCACAATGGACAGGTCTACCAGCCTGGACAGACACTGACTGTGGAATGCAACACCTGGTTTGTACAGTGTTTTACATTCATACCAGTATAGTATGAACCTTCATGGAAATGAATGTTCTAAGTATTCCTTTATTCCTGAGACATTACAAAGATTCCAGATGTTTATTTTTTTTAACTTAAAAAGAAAAAAAAAGAAAAGAAAAGTCACCGGTCAAGACATAATATATATAATATATACAACTAAACAAACTTAACAACCAAAATCATTTAAATGAAAAAAATAAATTATGCCAAAAGTCTAATACACAATTATTTGTAATGTAATATGTAAATGGATTGTTGTCTGAATTTTCGGCACATTATGTTTTTGTAATTGCTGTATTCTAATTTAAAATTTAACAGTAATTATTACAAATACTTTTATAATACCCACCCAAAAACATGCCCTACACGGCTGTAAAAAAATAAATAAATTTGATCGTTTTCTTGGCAGGTTTACATGATTGAAAGTTTGTGTCTGGTTTGTGTCTCCCCAGCTACTGCAGTGGAAGGAAGTTCATATGCTCCAACAATGTGTGTGATGCTGTCTGTGGGATCTATGGCGAGGGCCACTACGTCACATTTGATGACAAGAGGTTTGACTTCAGTGGACAGTGTGAATACACACTCCTGCAGGTAAAGTTGCAGATGAACAGTGGTTAAAGTTGAAATCCTTGAAATGTTAGTCCTGCTCACCATGGCAATGTCAAATGTGATTTAATACAACAGCAAATGGTCCTTGAGCAACTACTTTCTCAGACATATTACTAAGAAGTGTAGCCATACAAACTAACATTGTTTAAATAAAAAAGGCAGTCAGTTATCTGCTTTCTAATCATGAACGACCTGTGTCTGACTTCATGCTGCACATGGTGTGAACAGCAGGACACAGTAAAGTCAGTTACTTTGCTGAGAAGTTATTAATCCTGTCATCTGCAGCTCTTTCGCCAACATCTTACTGTGGCTGCTCCCTCTTGTTCCATTACTCCCTACAATATTTAAAACTGATCTGCCACTACCAGTAAAACCTGCTATATAGAGAGATATCTACTTAAGAATACATTGAATAGCTATTGCAGAAAAATGTCAACCAGTAATTGTATCAATAATGTGGTTTGATTTCATGAAAAAGGATTGTAGGATTATGACTTTAACAGTGATGTCCAGTAATTGCATTGTGTGTCTGTGCTTTCCTCAGGACTATTGTGGTCAGGGCAATGGAAGCTTCAGAATTATCACTGAGAATGTTCCATGCGGAACCACGGGAACCACCTGCGCCAAGAGCATCAAGATCTTCCTGGAGGTAAACAACTCTACATTCACACACCTGTTCTACCTCAAACACTTACCACTAATATTGATGATAACACACAGGTTGTGGATCAAATGATAATCACTAAGGCTTCGACCGATTATTACTTTATGATTGATAAACCTTACAATGCCTTACTGAGCCAGCAGTGTCAGCAAGTGAAACCTTATGTGCTACCATAATCTGAGGCATAAGATTTATTCTAAGACCAATAATAATGATAGGATTTAATTCCATGGTTATGCTATTATGCTAATGACCATAATATAGCAAATATATCCTGGACATGTGCAGCCAACATGCACATCCAGTGACATGCCAATGAAATGCGGCCTTCATAATGCCATGTAGTCAATTTGTATCTGTTCCTTTGTGAGGAACAAGAGTGAGTTCCTATTCAAACAGTAGCATTTAAGCTTTCAAGTGAAAACTAGAGAAAAAAAATAGAAACGATTTATTGAGCAATTGATTACTTGTTCCATGTGGTGCAATAATAACTGCATGTTCATTTCATGTTGATACCCACAGGATAATGAATTCCAACTTAAAGATGAGACCTTCCAGGTGGTAAAGGGCAGCAGCCAAGTGCTCCCTGCTCAGGTACACAAGATGGGTATTTACCTGGTGATAACGATCAAGGCAGGACTTGTGCTCATGTGGGACCAGAAGACCAGTCTTTTCATTAAACTCAGCCCCCGGTTCCAGGTAAACATTCAAATCTGCATATCTTGACTGACAACTAGCTTTTGCACAAAGTATAGTTATTGGTTTAAATTTTGGACTTGAGAAAACCTGATAGCTTCCCGTTGCTGCTTGCTAGCACATACCATAACAAACCCATTTTATAAGTTGGGACTTTGATGGCCGTTGTTATGATGTTTCCCTGGCCTCAAGAGGAAACTTATCAATTCAGCTTTAAATTAGCTTAAGTAACATATCTCATGGAAATTTGAATTTTGAATTTAACAAAGGGCACAGTTGCCGTGGGGGTGGCGAATATTACACACAACAGTGGTAGCACTTTATTAAGTAAACCCTAAAATGAAAAAGCCAATCCTGAGGGATATTCAGTGACAAAAAACAGATGTCTTAACTCTATCAGTCTAATCATACAGCAGTAAATTCTCTCACCGGGTTCCTCCCTCCCAGAGTGAAGTCTGCGGTCTATGTGGAAACTATGACGGCAACAGTAAGAATGACTTCACCACACGCTCCCAGGAGACAGTGGCAGATGTGCTAGAATTTGGTAACAGTTGGAGGGTTTCATCCAGCTGCCCCAACGCACAACTAATCAGTGATCCCTGTGCCTCCAACCGCTACCGCGCAGCCTGGTCCCAGAAACAGTGTAGCATCATCACCAGTGTCACCTTCCAGAGCTGTCACTCACAGGTAACTATGGTGATAACAAACACAGTCACATATACACATAAATGTATACACACATACAAACTGCCATGGTATCTGGGAAATTATATCAATTTTGGCGACCCCTGACCTTCTAGCACCACCAATATTTCTACTGCTTCCAATGACACTGCTGCTGCTGCTGCTACCACTACTATAGGAAAACATTTTTCCTTACCCTCAACCTTTATTAACAGACATTATTGTATATTCAAGGTTGACCCTGGTCCCTACTTTGATTCTTGCGTGAGAGACTCTTGTGCTTGTGACACCGGTGGGGACTGTGAGTGTCTCTGCACTGCTGTGGCTGCCTATGCCAAAGCTTGTAATGAAGCTGGGGCCTGCGTTAAATGGAGAACTCCAAAGCTGTGCCGTAAGTTTGGCAACCATCACACCACCAACATCTGAGCTGCAGGATTTGAGGATTTAGAGGCACTCTTGGATGCTAAAACAAAACCAGGAAATATATATTTTCATATTAAGTAACATCTTGACTTTTGTAACAACAGCTAACAAGTATTAACTTTGTCTTGCAGCTGTTTTCTGTGACTACTATAACTCGCCTGATGGTTGTGAGTGGCACTATAAGCCATGTGGAGCTGCCTGCATGAAGACATGTAGAAATCCATCAGGAAACTGTTCCAACCTCATCACTTCCCTGGAAGGTACATGACACAGATCATTTGACATAAATATAGACCCAGCAGTTCTTTTTAGGTTTTTTTTTTTTCTAAGCATGGGAACTATTTTTTCTGAAATGATGCAAGGACTCTTTGATGGGGCACATGGCTCAGGAGGTAGAGCCGGTTGCCCACTGATGATAGGGTTGGTGGTTTGATACCCAGCTCCTCCTGTCCATATGTCTTTAGGCTCAGGTGTCCTTAGTCAAGACACTGGGCCAAAAATAGCTCCAGAGGGAGTGTGTGTTAATGGGTGAGGGAGGGACAAATTGTAAAGTGCATTTTATCATTTTGCCATACTCAAAATGTTATAATGGTATTGCAGGCTGCTATCCACAGTGTCCCCCCACCAAGCCTTACTTTGATGAAGACACCATGAAGTGCGTTGCCTGGAACCAGTGTGGCTGCTATGATTCCAAAGGAACCCATTACAGCATTGGAGATAAGGTTCCATCAAAGAACTGTTACACTTGGTATGTCTCAAACACTTTATCTTCATCATAGAACTTTGCACACTGTATGAAATGATGCATACATTTGGACACTGGCACTTGTGATATAAAATAACTGAACAGAAAATATTGTTGTTTTTTTTTAGCAATAGTGGCCTCACTTTGATCAGACAGTGTTTAACTACAGCAGCAGAAGTTAACATGGCACAGGCCCTAGCCCAGCAGCAAGAAAGACTGGAGATTATTCTAGCTGTACTGATCATTTATTTTTTTATTTTTTTATTATTAGTAGTTAATAATGATTTTTAAGATGGCCTGTTGTAATGGTTTGCAAATATAATACTGGACTTAAACACACCTTTGAAGTCAGTGGTTGTGTCCAAAGTGCAGGGGGGGGGGGGTTAGGTTAGGTTAGGTTTTTCTGTTTACAACTGAAATCTAACATTTTACATTTCTGTCCCCACTACCATTTCTGTTGTAGCAGCGATTGTTTCTTACTGGCCAACAAATTTTTAAAGTGATTGATTGAATGAGTGTTGAGATATCTGGCTTTCAGTACACTTGGTGTACTTGTGTAAATATTTTTATGTATAAGTCACTATATAAGTACACTATCAGACTCAATGTTTTCTGATCAGCTTCAAATTGTATATTTGGGCTAAAATATGGTAATATGATTTCTTTTAATGTGAACATTTGCATATTGTGCACAAAATGCCAAAATATGATGAAATAACCACAATTTCCTTCTATTTCAAAGCTCCTGTACAGTTTCTGGAATATCGTGCAGCTACAATGTGAACTGTAAGTACTCTTATTTTATTCACAAATGTGTGTATACCCACTGTTCCATTAGAAAGGTGGATCCTAGAGTCCACCTAGAGTCCACTGTGTATATGCACACATACAAGCACAAACGCGCACACACATATTAGTGTATGTATATTTACATATATATATGTAAATATACATACATACATATTTCCCTTCTTACCGTGCTCCCTGTCTTTATGCTGTATAAATAAGGTGTACAGTTATATATATATCTATTTTTCTTTTATAAAGAAGCATTTTATGGAGCTAATTTATTCCTGCATTCTGGGAAAGATGTACTGGTGTGGGCGGATTTGTCTTTAGTTTAATTTTATATATATGTATATATGTTTGTGTGTGTGAGTGTGTGTATATGTATAAAACTGAACATATGATAATCTTATTCTTCAGCGTGTACATGCTTCATTAATGGAAAGACCTACAGTTATGGGGAAACAATCTACAACACGACAGATGGGCTTGGACACTGCATTACAGCTGAGTGTGGGGCCAATGGAACTGTAACAAGAAACATACACCCGTGCTTGACTACCACCACCCCTGGGATTACAACAGGCACCTTCACATTCAGCACAGTTCCTGCTAGTACCACCACCACTAGAGCACCTTCAAGCACAACTAAGGGAACAACAACCAAACAAGTCCACACAACAACATCTGAGGAAACAACAATCAGTGTTGAAACAACAAAACCACCCACAATCACCACTGGCCCAGTGACCACCTCTACAACAACTACTGTTGAAACTACAACCTCAGTGCCTGGTGTCACAACAAGAAGTTCAGAAACCACAGTGGTGACCTCAAAACCATCTGTTAGCACCACAACTACTGAGGGACCTTCAACAACCAGTAAAGGAACTACAACAAAACCAGTAGAAACAACTGTGAGGGTGCTTTAGTGTGGTGCTGTACTAACAGATGGTTTTGATGTTACAACTGTTGTTTCTGAGTTGTTGTTTGACACCAGGCACCACAGTTGTAGTTTCTACACGAGTTGTGGTAGAGCTTAGTCACTGGGCTTGTGGTGACTCCTGTAGTGGTTTGGTTGTTTCAAACGTTATTGTTGTGTGATCCTGAGGTAGTTGTTTCTACTGGTTTTTGTGTGTAGTTCCTTTACTGGTTGTTGAAGGTCCTCAGCTAGTTGTGGTGCTAACAGATGGTTTTGAGGTCACCACTGTGGTTTCTGAACTTCTTGTTGTGACACCAGGCACTGAGGTGTAGTTTCAACAGTAGTTGTTGTAAGAGGTGGTCACTGGCCAGTGGTGATTGTGGGTGGTTTTGTTGTTTCAACACTGATTGTTGTTTCCTCAGATGTTGTTGTGTGGACTTGTTTTTGTTGTTGTTCCCTTAGTTGTGCTTAGGGTGCTTCAGTGTGGTTGTGCTAACAGATGGTTTTGAGTTACCTGTGGTTTCTGAGCTTGTTGTTGTGACACCAAAGGCACAGTTCGTAGTTTCTACACAGAGTTGTGTAGAGCTGGTCACTGGGCGTGGTGACTCCTGTAGTTGGTTTGGTTGTTTTCAAACTTTATTGTTGTTGATCTCGAGGTAGTTGTTTCTTACTGGTTTTGTTGTAGTTTCTACTGTTACGAGTTGTGTTGAAGTCCCTCAGTAGTTGTGTGCTAACAGATGGTTTTTGAGGTCACCACTGTGGTTTCTGAACTTCTTGTTGTGACACCAGGCACTGAGGTTGTAGTTTCAACAGTAGTTGTTGTAGAGGTGGTCACTGGGCCAGTGGTGATTGTGGGTGGTTTTGTTGTTTCAACACTGATTGTTGTTTCCTCAGATGTTTGTTGTGTGGACTTGTTTGGTTGTTGTTCCCTTAGTTGTTGCTTGAGGGTGCTTTAGTGTGGCGTGTACTAACAGATGGTTTTTGATGTTACAACTGTTGTTTTCTGAGCTTGTTGTTGTGACACAGGCACCACAGTCGTAGTTTTAACACGAGTTGTGGTAGAGCTAGTCACTGGGTGTGGTGACTCCTGTATGGTTTTGTTTTCAAACGTTATTGTTGTTGATCCTGAGGTAGTTGTTTCTACTGTTGTTTGTTGTAGTTCCTTTACTGGTTGTTGAAGGTCCTCAGTAGTTTGTGTGCTAACAGATGGTTTTGAGGTCAACCACTGTGGTTTCTGAACTTCTTGTTGTGACACCAGGCACTGAGGTTGTAGTTTCAACAGTAGTTGTTGTAGAGGTGGCACTGGGCCAGTGGTGATTGTGGGTGGTTTTGTTGTTTCAACACTGATTGTTGTTTCCTACAGATGTTGTTGTGTGGACTTGTTTGGTTGTTTGTTCCCTTAGTTGTGCTTGAGGGTGCTTAGTGGTGGCTGTACTAACAGATGGTTTTGATGTTACAACTGTTGTGTTCTGAGCTTGTTGTTGTGACACCAGGCACCACAGTCGTAGTTTCTACACGAGTTGTGTGTAAGGCTAGTTCACTGGGCTTGTGGTGACTCCTGTAGTGGTTTGTGTTGTTTCAAACGTGTTATTGTTGTTGATCCTGAGGTAGTTGTTGTCCTCTGGTTTTGTTGTAGTTTTCCTTTACTGGTTGTTGAAGGTCCTCAGTAGTTGTGGTGCTAACAGATGGTTTTGAGGTCACCACTGTGGTTTCTGAACTTCTTTTGTTGTGACACCAGGCCTGAGGTTGTAGTTTCAACAGTAGTTGTTGTAGAGTGGTCACTGGGCCAGTGGTGACTCCTGTAGTTGGTTTTGGTTGTTTTCAAACTTTATTGTTGTTGATCCTGAGGTAGTTGTTTCTACTTGGTTTTGTTGTAGTTCCTTTACTGGTTGTTGAAGGTCCCTCAAGTAGTTGTGGTGCTAACAGAATGGTTTTGAGGTCACCACTGTGGTTTCTGAACTTCTTGTTGTGACACCAGGCACTGAGGTTGTAGTTTCAACAGTAGTTGTTGTAGAGGTGGTCACTGGGGCCGGTGGTGATTGTGGGTGGTTTTGTTGTTTCAACACCTGATTGTTGTTTCCTCAGATGTTGTTGTGTGGACTTGTTTGGTTGTTGTTCCCTTAGTTGTGCTTAAGGTGCTTTAGTGGTGGCTGTACTAACAGATGGTTTTGATGTTACAACTGTTGTTTCTGAGCTTGTTGTTGTGACACCAGGCACCACAGTCGTAGTTTCTACACGAGTTGTGGTAGAGCTAGTCACTGGGCTTGTGGTGACTCCTGTAGCTGTGTTTGGTTGTTTCAAACGTTATTGTTGTTGATCCTGAGAGTTGTTTCTACTGGTTTTGTTGTAGTTCCTTTACTGGTTGTTGAAGGTCCCTCAGTAGTTTGTGGTGCTAACAGATGGTTTTGAGGTCACCACTGTGGTTCTGAACTTCTTGTTGTGACACCAGGCACTGAGGTTGTAGTTTCAACAGTAGTTGTTGTAGAGGTGGTCACTGGCCAGTGGTGATTGTGGTGGTTTTGTTGTTTCAACACTGATTGTTGTTTCTCTCAGATGTTGTCTGTGTGGACTTGTTTGGTGGTTGTGTGTTCCCTAGTTGTGCTGAAAAGGTGCCTTTCAGTGGTGGCTGTACTAACACAGTGTGAAGTTTCTGATGTACAACTGTGTGATGTATGAGAGCTAGTGTTGTGACACCAGCGTCACCAGACAGTCGTAGTTTTCTATCACTACGAGTTTGGTGGCAGACCTAGTCACTGGCTATGTGGTGACTCCTAGTAAGTATGGTCATTGTGGTTGATTTCAAACTTCTAATTATTGTCTTGTTTAGAGTCTACCTGAGAGTCAGTACTATCGATTACCTTGAGTTTTGTTTCGATAGCTCTCTTAGACTGGTTGTTCGAAGGTCCCTCAGTAGTTTGTGGTGCTACAGATTGGTTTTTGAGGTCACACTGTCGCTTTCTGACTTCTTTTGTGACACCAGGCACTGGCGTCTGTAGTCTTTCGCGAGACAGTATAGGTTGTTCGCATAACGAGGTATGTCACTGCATGCCATGGCTGATAGTTAGGCGTGTTCTTACGGTTTGTTCCATTTCCTGGCGCTGGCAAGGTTTATTTCAAGACTAATGAGTGAATACGTTAGTGGAAGCTTTTGTTCTAATACAGCGTCCTGCAGAGTTTGATTGTGGCTCTGCCTTTCAGTGGAGTAGGTTAAGCTCTGTTGTGTCACTTGTATAGAAATGTGTCAACATAGTGCTGGTATAATATTTCCAAGCAAATCTATCCACTTTCAACATTTTTCTTTTGATAGGTGCAGTGGACCGGTTGCTTACCACGGCCGCTACAGGCTTTGATACCTTCTCTCACGGAAATCCTGTGCTAGC